TAAGCTGTACTGTAACAATTAGAAGAAGTGTCATTTAAACCTATTTCAAAAAATTTTCTATTCGACGATCCATCGATAACAACTGGTGGAAAAAAAAAAAGCACAAATAGACTATGGTAAAATATGGAGTCGTATTTGATTGGCTCAATGTAACTGGGTGAAGTGAACCACATTTCTTTAGTTAGCATGTTTGGTTCACTTCCCACGACCTATCTGCTTCTCGTCTTGCTTTTGACTTGATACTGGCGACATCTATTTCATCACTTATTCTCCTAGTTATTGCATCATTCAACGTGTACATATTAATTTGCTCCACGTCAGAACGGGGGAAAAATGTCTCACACTCGTGCAAGAGGAATCGTTCGCTTGTTCAGTATATAGTCATCATGAATCTCTATCGTTGTATACAATGCTTTTGCTTGGTTCTTCTTTCTTGTCCTATTGGCACGTCGACAGGAATAAACGATGTTACTTCTCGAACTTTTTCAGTTTCTGAAGTCGAGCCAAGCGAAGTCGTTCATCCGGAAGTTTTATCTCTTTCCAATGAAGATGTACAACGATGGGCAAATGAAAATGAAACGCTTGTACTCGAAAATGCCCAACTTAACTATCCGTTGGCTGGTAAAATCGGTCATCGTGTGGCAAATGCATTCGTTGGTACTGTATTCAAAGCTTATTCGAATCATTATCCACTTGAGCTAAGTGTTGAAGATATTTGGGTAGTCATTGCTCAAGGTGTTAGTATACATCTGAATGAAAATGCAGAGAAATATCGTCAATTTTTCGTATCGCATGAAGACAAAAAGACATTAACGTTATATGTAGATGACCTTCGAATTTCGAATGTGGACAGAGTATCAGGTGAAAATCTATCGATACCAGCGATCGACTGGCCAAAGGCTGTACATTTGATGGGTAATTTAATAAAAGAAGATATGAGACGTGATCTAGCCAGTGTGATTTCAAAGCCTTTTTCACAAACAACAGCTGTGCAACAGACAGTATTAGACGCATGTTTAATGGATACTGTTAAAAAATACTACGCCTACGAATTTGGTTTACTCTGTGGCATTCCACAAGTGACTTTGATTGGTTCACCAGACGACTTTCAATCAGTATTAGACCGTTTGAATCAATTGAAAGTATTCTTTCCTGATTTGCATTGGTGGCTCGATCCACTATTTTCGCATGTTCAAAACTTTAAAGAAAGTGCTGAAGGAAATTCTGACATTGACTGGTGGAGAAAAATTTGTCATGAACATTTTGAAGGATCTGGTGATACCGCTTTGACTGGATGGCTTATTGATTTTATCCCGTGAGTATTAAACTGTTTCTTTCTTTTGCGCTGGTTAAAGACCAATAGTTGATTTTAATTTTGTTGACTTCATCCATTTTTAATAATATGAGAAGTAAAGACGTTCTGAATATTGTTTGACAAAAACGAGACTCGTTGTTTTCGTAGAAACATAACCGTCAAAACGATTGAGTGTAAGCAGTAGATCGTGATGCGCCCAAGGAAAACCAGTGCCTCATCATACAGAAACGAGAGTTTTCTCAAAAGCTTATGAGTCTTTCCGATGCGTTTTACTATGATATTCGAAATAGAAATAATATCGAAACAATTTTCCATTGTGCATTGAACAAGATCATTGACTCCCTAAGAATTCCAATTAAAATTCTTCCAAGTATTTGGTATAGCATAAGTTTATTCATATTACTTTTTTGTAGAGCATTAAGAAACGAATCTTTAAACTGGCAAAAATAGATATGAACAATGAAATTTGAAAGAGATATTTCCAACGTACTGAGTGTGAGATTTACTCTTCTCTAACCATTAGATAGTAAACAATATTAACATTTAGACCGAAAAATACCACTAAAGCTGTTTTCTACTGAAGTAATTTGGAACTGAAATTGTATCATGTAGAATGTTCAATAACAAATGTATCCGTGTATCCGTCTTATTTTCATGTTAGGTACATAGCCGATGGTCATGGACACTATAGAAAAGCTCGACAAAGCTATAGTCTTACAAACACTGAAGTAAGAGAAAAATATAATTCTGTTGTCTATAAGATATATATCTTTCATATCATTTTTTCGATAGGAAGTAACTTATGGTATCGATTTTTCTGATTTCAATGAAGCCGTTACACAAACAGATTTTATTCTTAATGATAATGGAGTGAAGAACAATATGAAAATCATTGCCGGTTTTCTTGGCATCGGGCAGAATCCAACAACGAAAGCTCTTCGACCGGTTCTTGGTTGGTTGACAGCTATTCCATCAGCCAAAGCTCCCAATAGATTTTGGGATGAAATGTAACAAACATTATTGTATATTCGAGAAAATCTTGAGAAACTTCTTACATAATAAACTCGACAGCTATACAACGACCAAACTTTTAAGCATGCTCGTTTGGAAACCGTACCAAGAATAGTAATTCAACAAAAAATATGCTTGCCCATTTGATTTTTTTTCGTCGATAAATAAAGATTTTATATGAATCAATTCCAAGACGGGGAAAAGCGGATTCTCAAGATTTCATAACTCAGAAAACCCGCGAGTACGAAATCTGACTTTTCTCCTTTGAAATTATTGAAAAAACAATCATTGTAATTCTTTGTTATCTCTGATAAAACTTAAGTGTTTGTTTGGAATTACTTTGTAATTTTTATACGTCCTCTACTGTAGACGTTTACAAAGTGAAGACCTTTTGTGAAAAAAAAACACATTGTTCTCATTCGCTCATTTTACTGCACTAGTATCAGGATCATGCGACGGTCAGTTCTTTATCTCAGAGGCGTTTGAACAGAAGAAATATTGCAGATTCGGTAGTGGTCGAGGCTTAATTAGAAGAGGCGACGAGTAAATATTAATGTGCATTACACAATGAACGAGTATATCACATAATTTGATGGCCTAACGTCATGTATTTTGTGCGTCAAAATTTTATGTACTTCAATAGTTTTTGAATATCTCGAAAACAAAAATAGTTAGACATCTGCAATTTTTATGTGAGGTGAGTGAAGCTTTTCTGTAGATAATCACCAAAATTATTTCAAAACAAATGTTCTCAACTAAAAATCCATTTCAATGTAGGAAATCGATAATGAATGCATTTCTTTATCGATCTATGCATCGTCATAAGTGTTTCACTTGAAATTTCGAAGTCGGTCAATTGACCACTATTAGCCATTCAAAACAATAATGAATGTTATGTAGACGCTATAAAAGGTTAAAAGTTGGCAGCGCGATTCTTGTGGGAATAGAATATGACACGTGATATAGTTATGCGTTATTAATATTCATACCAGAATTAAAGAGAGGTGTATGTAAATTGAATTACTCAATAACGACGAGTGTTAGAGACTAATAATTTTCAACAATTGAAAGAGAAGAACTCTAGAATTAATCTTTCCGATGCATTATAAAATAATTATTTTAAGTTCATTATCCCATAAAAAATTCTAAACTTGGATTTTGACATATATTTCAAATAAGAAATTTAGGATCTCTTGTCATTCACAGCACAGTTCAGATGCTTACTTTCTCACCTCCCAATACTGAGAAAACAAACTCACGTATGTACTTAGTAAAGTGATATAGAATTGTTTTGTTCATTAGCAACTATTTGAATTATCATCAGAATTTTCTTAAAACTTAACACTAAATTGAGTGTGACTGTGGATGTCAATTTAGCATAAAAGAAGAAGAGAGACATCGACATCCTCTAAAAACTAGATCTTAGAAACTTTATAATACTCTAAAAGCTTCATGAAAATGTGAGGATTCTTGTTAAGACAGTGTTTACAAAATTTGAACTTTTGTAAGAAGAAATCTTCTTTATGAATCCGGTATCTAGGTTCCAAAGTATCAATTTTCAAATCAAAATTTTGGTATATTATAGGGACTACAAAAGTGTGTGCTTCAGAGATCATTGAGTCCAAAAAGTTTTCAACTCGAACCCGAACCCAGACCCGAACTCGACTAAGTAAAATTTTTGGACCAGTACGCGACCCGGACCCGCTAGGGAATTTTTTGGACTCAAAGCTCAGGTGTCAATTTTTTATGGTTTCGGACTTAAACCGAACTCGTAAAACTGTTTTATTTTCTAATGCAAATCTGATTGTTGCTCGACGATATGTTATACGTTTGATTTGTTTTTTTCTTGTTCCATGAATAGCATTGTCTACATTTTGTTGAAACAGTCATATACTGCTA